TTTTGGAATGGATGGCTTACATTTAAATAGTGTAGGAACTGGCTCATTTCCAAGGGCTATTAACTCAACTATAAGGGAATTTTTAAACTAGGACTATATAATGGTGAGGGCCAGGATAAACTAAATGCAAAAAAAAAGATGTAGAGAAAAGTTTAGCATAGAAAATGAGTATAGAAGTAGTTATAAGGGTAGACTTAATTGTTACTGTTGTATGCTGGAAGAATAAGATATAGAATAGCTGACTTTAGTGTAAAATGCTGGTAGGAATAGAGGATTTTGATATAATGAGAATAACTGAAACATGGTTAAATGAAGACAATTTTGATGACAGAAATTTCTTTGAAATACAGGGTTATAGGTTATTTAATAGGGATAAAATACTAAAGAGAGGGGGAGGAGTGGCTTTATATGTAAAATGTGAGTTGCATCCTGTTGAAGTTGAGGATATCAAAGATAATAGCAGGGAGATTGAATCCATTTGGGTTTCTGTTAGCAGTTGTGGGAAAAGTTTTGGAAAGTCTGATAAAAGATGCTCTGCAAAGTCATTTAACAAATTTTAAAATTTTCTTGGATAGTCAACATGGTTTCATGAAAAGAAAATCTTGCCTTACAAATCTTTTGACATTTTTTGAAAAGATTACTGCTTATGTAGATGAGGGTAAGGGTGTAGATTTGGTGTATCTGGAATCTCAGAAAACATTTGACAAGGTGCCACATAAAAGGCTTGTAAAAAAATCTTTATAGGTGTGGGGGATTAGTTAGCTAATTGGATAGAAGAAAGCAGAAGGTTGTTATAAATGGAGTTCAGTCAAAATGAATTAATGTTACAAGTGGGATACCTCAGGGCTAAGTCTTAGGACTTTTGTTCTTTTTGATTTACATCAATGACATAGATGAAGGAATTGTCAGTAAGTTATTTAAATTTGCTGATGATATTAAGGTATTGGGTGTTGCTGGCTGTGAGGATGATGTTGATGCTTTACAAAAGGATTTAGATAATTTAGTGAGTTGGGCAAATAAATTGCAGATGGGTTTTAATTATGATAAATTCAAGATAATGCATGTGGGTTATCATAATTTGAATTATAAGTATCATTTGGATGGGAATAACTTTAATAGTGTTATGGAAGAAAAGTCTCATTGGCATTCTGGTTGTTCAGTCAACTAAACCTTTCAAGCAGTATGCTGTTGCTTGTGGTATGGCAGTAGGATTTTAGGTTGTATCTACAGAATTATTGAATGCAAATCTAAAGAGCTAGGTCAGTGGTAACGTTACAGTTGGAGTACTGTGTTCAATCTTGGACTCCTTACCTAAGGAAGGATATTGATTTGTTGGAAAGGATTCAGAGGAGGACTGTTAGGATGATACCTGGCATGGGAAGACTGTCATATGAGGACAGGTTAAGATCTTTGAAATTGTGTTTGCTTCAAAAAAAGAACAGAGGAGAATACAGTTTAGATGTTTAAGATTGTTAATATTGATAGTGTTGATGCATCAACTTTTTTCATATTTAATGGTGAGAATGATAAGATTAGGGGGCACAAATATAAATTTTGGCAGAGTAGGAGTCACTTTAGCTAAGACAGTTTTATTTTTCAAACAAGGTGGTTGGCCTTTGCAATGGGTTGCCTTCAAACCTGGTTGATGTGGTAAATTTAAGGGTGTTTAAGGGAAAGCTTTCTAAGTATTTGAGTGATGGGAGCTGGCTTTGAGTTGGAGTAAATGGACTATTAGGTCTCTTGTTGTCCTTACCCTTTGTCTTATTGTATTAGCACTAGAACTGGGTGATTAAACATTGATTAAATCGATTATACATGTTTCATAAAATAATCATTTGATCAAAATGAAAATTGATTTGATTGTCACAAAAATAATCAACTAGTGTTCTCGATCATTATAGTTTTTTATTATAATTATTCCAACCATCCAGTAATTGCCATTATTACTATTTGTTTAATTCAAGTAGGTTCAGCTTAACTGATTAATGTCACAACTGAAGAAAATAATCAACTAATCAAAATTAGGAGTTTTGACTGTTCGAACAATCCAAGCAGTTGAAATATTGCCATTATATTTGTTGTTAAGCGCAAAGCAGCACAATGGGGTATCTACCCTGTCCGTCATGGGTAGTGAAAGCTGATTTATAGTATTATAAGTTGATTTTTTTGAATTAAAGTTTTTTAGCTTTGTGCCAGCATGGCTTGGAGATAGAGAAGTTACCTCTTAAGACAAGGTTATACAGTTTGATTCTTGTTGATAGTAATGCTGCTGATCATTTCAGGTGCCAAGGTGTTATATTTCTCTGATATAAAGGTATGGCATAGCTACAATAATAATTTTCCAAATGTAATATACCTCCAAATATAATATGCACTCTAATTTTCACAAAGTATCAAGTTTATCGTATCACCATAAATAGTATACACCTAGACTTTTGCAATACTGCAGTCATAGTAATCCATTGAGGACAAGAAGGTTAAAGTGTCTATATAATTTCTAATTGGATATTTGCCATAGTGCTTGTTATCTGTGCAATAACATAAATTTAAATATTGTTAAAATGTTAAGAGTATCCATAAAATGGCTAAAAATGAGTTTGCCTTACACTTGCTATGGACAGTGATTTTGACTCAGAATTTAAAGGTTTTGCCAAAAATTACTTGTAGTTTTGAATATCAAATATAATGTAACGATAACTAGTTTTGTATTTCAAAACATTTCTAAGTGTGCACATATATATAAATCTACAAAATCACGAGACTTAGCTTCTTGATCATTTTATTTCAAAAATCATGTTTAAAGATACTGAAAATGAATTAAAACAGGAGAAAAGTCTCATTTATACCTTCGAAACAGAGAGAATTAATAATATATACTATCAAAATACAACATCTCTAGTAACTATGCATTACTGTTCACAAAGCACTTGAGAAAAGACTGTATATATTGACTTTAAAAAAAAGATTTATAACCATATATTACACACACACACCCTAACTTTTAAATAACTTATCAGTTTTAAAAAAATGCATAGCATATTTGAACTGCCAACTCTTTGACTACTTTTATATTAAGTAGTGTAAATTTACTGTTTTTTATATTATGTTTGGAATTTGTAATATCATAACTGTTATTTCATGTTGAATAAGCTGTAAAATTGTTTTTTACTATTATGTCACATTGTGATTTATAATTTGCATAACTTTATTCTTTAGTCTTAAATAAGCTGTAAATTTACTTTTTTCTGTGTGTTATCTTTTT